GAAAGAAGGGTGCCAGGACTAAGAGTGAGGTGAGGAGGTGGCAAATAAAGAAGGTAGGGGAGACGTGCTGGTGAGAGAGAAAGGATCCTTTCTAAGTGGCACAAGGACCCCACCACCACTAGAGAAAAATGGGGTGTGTGGGGGGGAGATATTGGGAACTTTCACATCACCTGGGGCCCAGTCATCTCCTTGTCTTCCATGTTTCCTTCAGAAGGAAAGAGAGAAAGCCAGGGAGCAGATAATGCTGAATGTGATAGAAATTATGATGAGAATGGCATTCCTAATACTTAGCAACCCAATGATTACAACACAGTATCCATTCCCCAACACCCAGTCTCTGCTCTGAGAGTGAACACTGAACAAAAGAAGGCAAAAAAGGCATAATAAAGCCATATCCAAAATGACATCCTAAATGCTGGGGTGAGGGTAAAGAATACCAGTAGTCTGCAGCATTCAATCCCTCAATCATTCATCTAGCTCTAAATGTCTGTTCAGCACATGAAGGGCTTACTGAAAAATCTCCCTCCCTCCTCCCACCCTAGACAAACCCAACCACCACTTCTAGGTCTTTCATTCCACTCTGAGAACCCAGAGGCCAGAAATTCCCTCTTTGGCAGTGGTATGCCATCCTGCTGTTGTCAGGGGCAACCCCGAAGCCCCTCCTCCCTCCCACTTGCCCAGATAGCTGTTCCTCACCCCTCTCCTTTACAGCCTGGGGGTCCCTTTTAGGACTGGGGCCTAGCAGCTCCTGTAGCCTGGGGACAGGGCTTCGCTCAATCTCCATTGGCTCCAGCTTGAAGCTCGGTGACTCTCGTGCTGTTTCCAGAGGCAAAGGCTCCTCCAAAAGCACTTCTGTTCCCCGCCCATGGTTTGTGACCTGGGAACCAACCCACATCACTCATCATCACAACAGGGCCCCACAAAAAAGGTAAATTAGTACAGAATTCTGAAGGCAAGCCTTCAACAGAGAACCACTGGTGATACCTTTGGACCCAGCAAAAGAAAAGGATGGTTTCCACTAAAGGCTTTTCTGATCCCATATGCATGTGAGGGGGTGGGGGTGGGTGGGAGAAGAGTCCCGTCCAGAGTACACCTTACCCATACAGCTCTTCTGACACACCTCACTCCCTCTTGCTTTCCCTCACCTTTTCTAGATGCTTCCATTTCTCACTACTGAATAAGTTAAACATGGGTGGTCCTGGGGGCAAATGCCCTCAGAGCCTCAGTGCTAAACTGGTTTTCTAAGTCCACCATTATCCCCCATCCAGCTCTGCATAGGAGACCAGATTGCTGGCGGTAATATAACAACAGCTAACAGATATTAAACACTAACTATAAGCCAGTAATGTGACCAAAACAACATGCTGCTCTCCCCCTAACCCTCAAAGCAATCTTAGAAAGCTATTTTATCATTTTCATTTTACTAATGGCATATCTGAGGCCCAAAACATTAAGTAGCTTGCCCAAAGTCATAACACTATATGGAACAGAGTGACGATTTAAACCTTATGCGCTAACTCAGGGACTCACACTAATGCAGAGACACGGCCTCCATATAAAACAAGGCACTCTTCACTACTCACTCTGTTCATTGGGTAAAATCTGGAGGGATGAATATTCCTAATTAAACTACTAAAAGCCTTCATGGCCACTTAAGGCTTTACTCAGGGAAACCAAGTAAACTCGTATGTGGAACTGGGTCGGCACGCTATTCCAGTTCTGGGGCCAAACCGCGGATAGAACAGCTCTTTTCTCACCTTTTGCCTCAGTCTTCCAAGCTCTCTCTGCATATCTTCCACAAGGGTCACTGCTTCCTCACCGCTCTGCGGACGTAGCTCCTGCACCCTGCTTTGGATTTCCTGGGGCAGGATGGTTAGAAACTGCTCCAGCACCAGCAGCTCCAAGATCTGCTCCTTGGTACGCATCTCAGGCCGCAGCCACCCATGGCAAAGCTCCTGGAGCCGACTGAAGGCTTCCCGGGGGCCAGCGGCCTCTTGGAAGCGAAACCCTCTGAAGCGCAGGTGGGAAGCCTCCGGGATAGGCCCTGGGTCTGGCGGGAGCAGCTCCTGGCTCCAGGCGCAGTCCTCTTCCAATTTCACTACCAGGAGCCCTTCCCGGTCTTGGGAGCCCGGGCCCGACGCCATTGTCAGGCTCCCAGAGTACCTTACCCCCCGAAAACAGCTGCACCCGCCCGGGAAGGCGCGCCCGTTCCCGGCCCCGTACAGGGATGGTCGGCCTCAGCAAGAGCCAGGGAACCTGGAGCTTCAAGTCCCGGGCGAAAAGCTCAGCTTCAGCCCGGCTGCAGCCGCTTCCGGCGCCTAGGTCTCAGTCGGTCCCGGGCGCCATCACACCGGCACCTTGTCCAGCCCTCCCCAGGACCTATGGCAGGACCTGAGCGCCACGCTTTTCGTTTCGTCGCACTTAGGACTGAGCTCTCAGCTCCCACGTCAGAAATTTCGGCGCGCGAGTTAGGCACCCACAGCCAACGGCGCCAGCTCGGAATCAACTTGAGGGTCACGTTCTGCGAACTATAACGCCCATTGGGTCAGGTCTCGCCACAGATTCGCCGCCGACCAACCGGAAGAGAATTGCCTGCAGGGACGGGATGAGCGAAGGGCCGATTTGAAACGAGAGGCGGGACCATCCGGCGAGCCCCGAATCGCCAAAGGTCCCTGGGATTGGGTGGGGGACGGGGGTGCTAAATCGATTTGTGGAAAATAATATCCAAACGGGTGTGACCGGCGGGCTGAGTCAGAATTCCCCGGAAGCTTACTAAAATACAAACCCTCAAGCCATGCGAAATTCAGTGCGCCAGTGTCAGGGTGGGCCAAGAAATCTGAATTGTTAATATCCTCCCCCCCCGAGAAATTCTTCACCCATAGACACGTTTGAGAATCACTTTCCCGAACATGACAGATTTAAAGGTCTCTACCCGCTCCGGTTACTTGGGATTGCAGGAGAGGGCCCTGACTGCGTCCGCCGGCCTCGGAGGACCATGAGCCGGAGACTGCTCTACCTCCAGCTCCGCGCCTCGGAAAGACCGGAAAGGGAGCTGCTCCGCCCGGGTCAGCATCCCCGCGGGGCCTGCCGGGAGTTGCAGTCCACACGACTGCGCTTGCGCTCCTACTCTGGGCAGGCGCCCCAGCGGCAGAGGTACCGGGAAACCATTAATTCAGCGTAGTATTGGGGGCGTGAGGCTGGTGGCCGGAAGCGGTCCCCTGCCTGGCCAGGGTCTTAGTTGGGGTGGCTGGACGCCCTGGAGGGCCGCTCGGGACCCGGCCCCGTGCCACTGGTTCCTATTTTAAACCGGATTTTAACTTGCCTGGGACAAGTTCATTGTCCATCCCTGTGGAGACGGGATCGTTATTCTTCTCCCTCATAGGTTGTCTGTGGACTTTCATCGTGAGGGGCGAGTGGAAGCAAACCCGGAGGGTCGGTTCCCTGGCATGCGCAGTTAAGGGCTATGTGCAGGTGGTGGGAAGGCGGCCCAGCTGTGAGGCAGGTGTCCATGGCCAGGGTCCACCCAGCTCCTCCATTCCCACCAGCAACTGTCAGCCTCGTGGACTCAGGAGACAGAAGCGTCATACGAGTGAATCGTGACAACCAGTACCATTTATTGAGCGCTTGCTTACATGCCACCAGATCTCCACAACACAAAATTGTAGGAAGTAGACACTATTACAGATAATGGCACCAAGTCACTTGTCCAAGACCATACAACTAGTCAGTCGCTGAAGTTCAGGCTCCCATAATGGTAAAGGGTGAAGTGATGTGGGGATGGAGAGGGTTGACTTTGAATGACTGAGTGGAAAGAGTCCTGAGGGTTTTTTTTTCCCCCCTTGTTCCATGCCAGGAAAAAAGGTCCACCACAAGCTGTTGTGGCAAATGCAGACCCAGAGGCCTCACATACATGAGCAGGTATAGCAGATCTATTTTAGAAAACCTTGTGACCTTAGAGTCCTCTAAGACCATTTTTCATGTTTAAGAGGCTATATTCTAAGCTTAAAATCAGTTTTCTGGCATTTACTGTGTCATCTCAGAAAGTTATTAAATCTCAACGGAGGCTGTGGCAGCCGCGGCAGCAGCAGCAACAGCAGCAGCAGCAGCAGCAGCGGCAGAAGCCTCTTAAAGGGGCCACGTCCTCAAGCAGATTTTCTGGTGACGGACCTGCTCGCTCTGAACACCAGTGATGAGTGGGCTTCATGCAGGAGGAACCAGGGATTTACAGGGAGACATCGTTGGAGTGAAGACCTAGGCAAAGCTCGCTAGGTATAAAAGTGCCAGTGGTATCCATTGTTCCCTGTTGAGCCCTACCACCTCCCAGTGTGCAGACACAGCGCAGCCATTGCCATATGTTCTCAAACTGGATAACAAAGGTCGCTCCACCCAGAAAATTCCCTGAAACCCTGCCTCCCCCAACTCGGGCCCCACTCAAGCCACATCCAGGTGTATTCTCAGTGTGTCAGATGCTCCTTGCAAAGACACACTGGTAGAGGCAGCTGGCCTCAGTTTCTGGTGTGACCTTTTGAGGCAACTATAAGCATGGCATCTATGGATTTGGCCCCGGAGGGGTAGAGGCTTGGGCTAAATTTGGCCTGCAGCTGAACTCTCAGGACTGTGCCAACTGGACACCTACTTCACAAATTCACACTAATAAGACTGGGAGACTTAGGAGTTTTTCTTAGTACATAGAAACAGAAATGGAAAGGCAGCCAAAATGGGAAGACAAAGAAGCAGAAACCAAATGACAGAACGGAACAGAGATCCAGATATAATGGAGTCAAATAATCTAACAGATGGCAGGGTTCAAAACACTAGTTATAAAGATGGTCAATGAACTTTTGGAAAATGTAGAGAACTCCAACAAAGAGATAAAAATGGAAATGGAAATTATAAAAGGGAACCAGTCTAAAATGGAGAACATTTATCTGAGATGTGAAGTATATTAAATGGAATAAACAAAGGAATAAACAAAGTGAATAAAGAAGGGGATCACATGCCGTATCTAGAGGACAGGAAAGCAAATCAGGACACTCAGAATGGCAAGAAAAAAGATACCAAGACTATAAAAATAATTTAAGGAGGATACGGGACACTATTAAGTCTCCAAATATTCGTCTGATCAGCATAACTGAAGAAAATCAAGATGTTGAACAGCTGTTTGGAGAAATAATGATGGAAAAATTCCCTAACCTGGTGAAAGAAATGGACATAAAACCCCAGGAAGCTCAGAGGATTCCAAAAATCAGGGATCCAAAGAAGCCCACACCAAGACACATCATAATTAAAATGCCAACGGTTAAATACAAAGAATTTTAAAAGCAGCAAGAGAAAAACAAATAATTACATATAAAGGAACACCCATAAGACTGGCAGCTGATTTCTCAAAAGAAACTATGCAGGACAGAAGGGCTTGGCAAAACACATTCGACAGGATGAAGACCCAGGATATACAACCAAGAATAATTTAGCCAACAAAGCTATCATTTAGAGTTGAAGGACAAATAAAGAGCTTCCTAGACAAAAATAAACTAAAGGAATTTATCACCACCAAGCTGGAATTACAGGAAATGTTGGAGGGACTTCTTTAAGAAGAAAAAAGTATGTATCAAAAACAGGAATAAAGAATGGTAACAACTACATTCCTATCAATAAGTACCTTAAATGGAAAAGAATTAAGTGCTCCAAACAAAAGATAGAGTGGCTGAAAAGATAAGAAAACAAGACCTCTACATATGAAAAGGAAGGGAATGGAAAAAGATATTGATGAACATAGAAGGTATTTAAGTCAAACAGAAAGATAAACACTATATGATTTCACTTATATGCAGAATTTAAGGAATAAAAAGAACAAACTAATCAAAAACAGACTCATAAATATAGTGGACAATTTGGTGATGGATAGAGGGGAGGGAGGTTTGGAGGGCTGGGAGAATGGAGTGAAGGGCTAAAGAAGTACAAATTAGTAGCTGATGGGTGGTCATTGGGATGGGAAGCATGGCATAAGGATTGCAATTAGCATTAATACATTGGCTAGGTGGAGGGTCGGGAGGGAGGGAGCAACTGGGATCATTTTACTAACTATAGAGATGTCTAACCAATGTACTATATACTTGAAACTAATTAAAATATAAAAAATATATGAAAAATAATCTCACTAAGCCTCAAACATCAGTCCCCTCATCTGTTTTGAGGGGACAATTCTATACTTATTTTATAACACCGGGTGAGGAATAAATGAGCTAATTAACATATGTAGGATGCTTACCAAGGTAGAGAACAGTGTGAACTCAATTAATATTAAGTGTTATTAATGCACAGCAAATTCCTGAAGCCTTACCCTATCTCATAGAAAAGTCACTTGGATTATTATTGCAGGACGTGGGGGTATGGGAATGTGTGTAAAACTACACATACTTCGAGATGGGAAGAATGAAGGATGAATCATTTGCTATGTAAGTTCCCTTTGATTTTAGGTTATTAATGGGTACTTAAAAATAGATGGACTTTCAGAGTTACTCAAAATTACTGTTAATATTCCTTGCCATTTCTTTGAGGACTATCTATATTCAGACAGAAAATAGCTGGTATTTGGGAGTGGAGTTACAGGCCAGCAGATCTATTGGGGTTCATTCGAGGCAGGCGTTTTTAACCTAGGGTCTATGAAATTCTAGAGCAGCAGTGTCCAACAGAACTTACTGCAGTGGTGGCTACTGAGCACTTAAAATGCAGCTAATGTTGCTAAGTGCCACCTAGCAGCTACCATATTGGTTAATGAAGTTCTGGAGCAAGTTCCCCACAACCGCCAGGCTGTGGACCAGTACCAGTCCGTGGCCTGTTTAAGGACTGGGCCGCACAGCTGGAGAGCCAGCGAAGCTTCATCTGTATTTGTAGCTGCTCCCCAGCGCATCACCTCAGATCATCAGGCATGAGATTCTCATAGGAGCACTGGTCCCTGGTGCCAAAAAGGTTAGGGATCACTGTTCTACAGGGTCACATGGATAGATTTAGAGATTTTGTAAACCTTTTTATATTGTACACAAAACTGCAAGGGTATATGTATTTTCTAGGAAGTGGATCCATGACTTTCATCAAGTTCTCAAAACCACCATAAGGATTAAGAGCCACTATTTTAGGGGTTTGGTGAAAAGTAAATTAAGGAAAGTAAGTATGCCCTCTTGTGACCACTATTGATTCTACTTTCTTAAACTTTCTTATCCTCAGTTATAGGTGGCTCCTTGACTATTACAGAAAAAAACAAATTTGAATCTCAGATAAAGAACTCCTATTACTCCTGGTCTTAGTTCTCATGAGTACTAGATTCTGTCTTTAGAACTGCGTTCAGTTCTTACCTAGGTCTTAGAGATTTCCTTGCACTTAAGGAGGCAGTTGTCTGTGCCTGGTTTTTGAATTGACATTCGATGTAATCTAGTGTTAAGACTTTCAAGTCTGTGCTCTTTGGCCTGGAAGCAGACAAATGGGCAGCTCCTGTCTTTCTGAAATGCTGCTCACCTTAGGATATTCTGGCTTCCAGGCTTCTGCCACCTTAAGCCTTTGCTATTTGCTTCTCTCCACCGTTTTGGTTTCTTCCCACTTTACTTGACTACAGCTTTCCTATGATCCATGGCTGTTAAGTGTATCACATTACTTTTTGATCTCACTCTTAGTTTTGAAATCCAATCATAGACAAAATAGTGACTGTAAATGACATTTCATTTAAAATGCATTTTATTTTTATTAATCTGAAACATATTGCCCTTTCTCCATGAAAACATAAAATAAGGCAAATAAACCAAAGCAAAACAAAATAGCTATATCAAAAATAAAAGTCTTCACACACACACACACACACACACACATACACACACACACACACACACACACACACACAATCTCCAAAGGTTTCCTGTTGCCTTGATAATAAAGCACAAACTCCTCAACAAGGCTGTGAAGATATTCATAATGCAGGCCCTGAACTGTGGCAGCAAGCACTGCAATTGACTCCTGCCCCACTCCAAGTCAGAATCACTTTCTTCTGAGCCCCC